AGTCATCCCGAGTCAAATTCGCAGTTGTCTCATCACATGTATGACCACCAGAGCCCTGGCCCGTCTCCATGCCCCGTGCGTACCGCACGCCTCACCGCTATTACCACGTCGAGCCTCCGCTGTCCCGATCGAATCTCAAGGGTCACAAACCCACACCACTCAACCCCCACTGCAGAGTACCACCGATCATCACCGACCGATGACAAGTTTCACGCTTTCATCAGACCATTGGGCTCCAATTCGAACTACGTGCCACTTGCTTTTTTCCCGCTGAATAGGCTTCGACTCTCTGAGCTCTTATGCCGTAGCCTCTCAATCAGCACCAAGTGAAGTCCTCCAGACTCCAGCTCCACCTTCAACATGACTCCATGGTAGATGATCAGTCCACCCATGCGCCCCGTCAACTTCAAGCTCCGTGTATACATCACCTTGAATCAACCCCGCGCCATAGTCTTGTCGAAGCCGCACAAGCCCTCGGGCATGCGCCACGTGTTTCCACACCCCAGAAGTCAGTCACCATCAGCATCACGCTCCTATGTCGTCATCGCCGATCCCACCATCGTCTTCTGTACCAACCGACTCGCGTCGATCCTTCAGACTATCTAGTCCGACCAGGCTCCTAGATCATTCCACGAATTTCCATCCATCACATGATAACACCATCATAGCTGTCATGACTTTCTGCAACACCTTCAAGCATCCATGTTGTGCCAACGAATCGTTCACTCTTGTTTGCCATAACCCAAGGCTTCCAGTTCCGTAAACTTCTTCACCTCAAACCTGATGCCCGATGGCGTCATGATTCTTTGTATAGCTGACCTTGTGAAAAAATAACCGAGCTTCCAACACGTGCTCAAGTACACAAGATGCACCAGTAGCAAATTCGTACAAAAAATCCTTCTACTCACGTGCATTAGCTCCCAGGCACAAATTCCAATGCTAGTAATTGCTTTGCCAAAACCTCCTGCTACCCAATGGAATAGAACGATGGATCTTTTCTTCCGCTGAATCGATCTGCTGCCTTGTGCTGTCATAACGAGGACTCGGTCCTCTTTTTGTCCAAAACAAATCTCAGTCCGACTGCACGCACCTGCAGCAACGCTAGCCCTGCCTGGGTCTCGTTGCCTGGCTTTGTACGCTCCATCCAGCTGGCCCATCTGGTCCACAACGCCCACACGTCGGCCTTGGCCTGCACAAGGCCAGCCTCCCAGCTGCCAGACGATCCCACGAGCATGTACCTGCGCCCCCTGATCGCCCGATCGACCGCGATCCATCTGATCGATCGCCGCACATCCCGCGTGCGCATGCGTTCCACTGCCACGCCCCGCCGCCACGGCCACGCGTATACTCGCCTGTTGTTGATGCCGCAACTCGCCGACATCAGTCACGTAACTCTTTTGATTGCCTTTTTCCGATCACGCCGAGAACCACGACGATGGCCGGCTGCATCTCAGATTCGATCCTTCTTCTAAATCAACAATCCACGATCTCCGAATAACCTAGCTCATGATACCACTTGTTAGAATAAATCCGAGGCATATCGTCGATCATCTGAGGACCAAGCACACACGAGCACGACACCGAGATTTGTTAACGAGGTTCACTGATATGGCTACATCCTCGGGGCCTGACTACGGGTGCTCCTCCCTGTGACACCGTCACAATACCGCACACCGGCCACCCGGGCGCCGGCACACGCCGCCGGCTCCCCCTTGGGCGCCTGTGCTATTATGTTGGCATAGGTTACATCGTGTGTCTACCCCCGCTATATATGAGAGGCCTAGGATACAAGTGTCCTATTAGGACACGACTCCATATTCTATATAAACACAATACCGAAAAAGGCTTTCGCCCCGCTTTATAAATAAAGCAAACCACAGAGCACAGAGTCCACAAGGTACCACCGAACAACACACACACACAACGCCACCGCAGGCAAGGTCCAACAGACACGCACAAGAATACTACACAAGGTCACAACATAACAAGCCCAACGAAGAAAAGAAGCACGCACAACACATAAACGGCGGTGGCAGCGAGGAAGAGAAGATCTAATCCTGCTCCGGGGGTGGTGGGGGAAGCGGAGGAGCCATCCGGAGAGCCATCACGCAAAGCTGGGTGATGATGGAGGTGATGGCGCCTCTCTCCCTGGGGCGGCTAAGCGGCCGCCAAAGCTGCAAGTAACTAGACCATTTGAACAAAGCGGCCGCCAACTGTAACCTACCTTGTACACAATATTCGACACAACTCCAACAAAGGCAATGTACTCAGAGTCATCACCCATGATGATCATGTCATTGACATAGTGGTGGACAAAGAGTCACTTGCCGTAAAACCAACAGTAGTTAAAATTGAGGCGGGGCGCTAAAACCAGGCACAAGGGGCTTGCTTAAGGCCATATAGAGAGCGGGGAAGACAGAATACCGTACCGCGAGGAACAAAATGCCTCACGTAGCTCAACATTAATAAGTGACATCAGGTTGAGATACAAATCAGTGGCGAACAAATGCCACATTGAGAAGGGGTGCAGACAATGGTCATGTGGGCCACATGTGCAAATTTCCCATTGTAATCATGACCGTGTCCCTTAAAGCCATGGGCTGATGGGCCACAAGACGAACCTTGTAGACCCATTACAAGTGATGGGACGAACACAGGGAGGAAAAAAACAAGATTGACGTGCCAATGCGATCAAGAGCAGCAAGCTCCTATGCCATGGCATGCTGCCATTTGGGATGAATAATATAGCATCACGATAAGAAGTTGTCTCAAGAAGAGCAACGCTAACAAAGCTATAGCGGTCAACAACCAGAAGTGGATGAGCACAAAAGCCATAAGTAGGCTCAGGAGGAGGCTGTGCATCGCCAACAGAAGGAGACGTAGTAGTCGATGAAGATGGCTCATCGGTCGAAGATGGCGCCTCAGGAGAAGGCGGCACGTTTGGAGTAGGCACAACGGAGGAATCCTTGGTAAGTGGACGACAAGCGTATTAGAAGGGAAAGTAGAGTCAAATACAAGGAACCATCGGTGGAGTCTCAGGTGACGAATGAGGTGAGGACTGCTGCGAGGGGTCCACAACATGAGTAGTCTTAGGGGATGAACGAGGTGGGGACTGCGGCGAGGGGTCCACATAGGAGTATGTGCAGACACAATGGGATGGGTGGACAAGGGCAAAAGACAACTGACATGATCCCAACACTATAGCCTTTGTGCTCAACATTGTATCCTAAGAAGACACTAAATGGAGCCGTCGGGTTGGTGCATTCATGGGGGCCAAGAAGAATGAAACAAACACAACCAAGCAAACAAAGCACCCAGTAGTCAGGAGAACAACCAAAAAGATGCTCAAGAGGGATGCCACCCTGCAGAGCAGAAGAAGGCAGAGTGTTGATGAGACAGTTGGAAGTGGAGACAGGTAGAACTGCGGTGGCGGAAGGAGGTGCTGCAGCAAGGTTCCCTGCTCTCATTCTCTCCCTATCTCTACATTTGCTTCTTTCTCCCGCTCTGCCGAGCTGAAGAAGGCGGAGTGTTGATGAGATAGTTGGAAGTGGAGACAGGCAGAACCGTGGTGGCGGAAGGAAGTGCTGCAGCAAGGTTCCCTGCTCTCTATCTCTCCCCATATCTGTACATTTGCTTCTTTCTCCCGCTCCTCTGTTCTTCATCTCTCTCCCTTTTTGCTTCTTTCCTGTGTCAAAGCTTTTCGCGTCGCACATCTTTCCAAATCTCCAGTTGCGTGGGCTGAGCAGCTCACTTTTCCCTCCCAATTTCTAGTCTCTTGATTCAAAATAAACGAGTAGTCTGGAGTACTCAGCAATTAGTCTCACTACCGCCCGACTGCACAAATTAGTCAAGTTTTTCAGCCTAGTCAACAGTGAAGTTACGACTCGTATACTACTCTCTTGACTAGTCTAGACTAGTCGATCGACTCACAATCTTATTGCATTTTGCAATAATCTGGATTTGCTACCCCGCGTGTGTAGTTTACGCCCTAGATCCAGCATACGTTCTGCCTCTGAGATTCACATATTTTCTTTCTCTACACTATGCAACAGCATACTCTTTATGAACTAATGAATGTCTAGCTTGTATTAATCCATTTCCATGCATGAAGTCAGTGAAAATGAATTTGCATTCAGTGATAGTCGAATCTAAACCACATTGACCATATCCTTTTTTTTTTTGAGATGCATTGACCATGTCCTAGACAGTTCACATGACAATAGCAATCTCATTCATCTGTACTTATTTGGAGGAGCTATCACAATGCTATAGTTACATTTGTATACACAAATGTTCCAAGATCCCAAGTTACCTAGCTCCTTGAAGAAAAAGCTTTGCATCCAGAGATTTAGAATGGACAAAGGCTAACATGCCATAGATTATATACGCTATAGTTCCAGGAGATTAGTTGAGTTCCAGCACCAAATACTGAAATATATAATATGAAGCCATTCTCTACAACCTGTCCGCTGCAGAACACACATTCTGCATTTTCAGCTTCGATATTCTTCAAGTTCTAGACATAAGTTTTATATATCTAAGTACTAGGTGCACGTCCATGCTCTTAGCCCTGTAGAAGAATCTAGACTAGTAGCCCCACGGTGGACACCATGATCATCTTAGCTGCTAACAAGAGCTGGTACAATAGGAACTTGGTTATTCTCAAAATATATCAAAGGACAACTATAACATAAACTTTTAACATTTTATTGGAGTAATTTTGGAAGCTATTCAAGTAACTGTTCCAGTAAATTCCATAATTTAAATGTTCTAGCTGATCCATATTTAGATATAGTCATTTCTGATTTCTCCTTATAGCGGCTTTTGAGTATTTGCTCGTTAGGCTGTTAAATGTATTGATTTCATATGTGAAAACAGTATCCTAGTTTTTTTTAAGGTGTAACCAGAATAGCCATTTTAGTTATCTAATCAGTAACCAGCTATGTTGTGCAAGGGAACCATACTTCTCCTAATTTTCTATTTTGACTTGAATTTTCTAGACATATTTACAATCAGCCTCTGTGCGGATAGAAGAAATGAGAGTGAAAAGACGTGACACAGAGCAATGGATGGCACATCGATTACTTCCTGAGAACCTCAAGGGGCGAATATTGCGTCATGAGCAATACAGATGGCAGGAAACAAGAGGGGTTGATGAAGAGGGCCTTCTTATGAATCTTCCCAAGGATCTTAGGAGGGAGATAAAACGACATCTTTGTCTATCACTTCTCATGAGGGTATTTTCTCAATCTTTACATGGTTATACTATATTTGCAAATCCTCGTCTCAAGTATGCCTGTCTCGAGATCACACTTAACGTAGTGGTCATACACTGTTTCAATGGAAATATAGAAACATGCCAATGCAAAGTTTAAAGTTCTAAAAATGATATCGGATGTTGTTGCCATGACAGAGTTTTCCGTTCAATGTTGAGGTTTGCACACTGATTGCTCATGTGCCTAGACAGTTGGTTAGTTGCTTTCGTTGGTGGTTCTCAGTCAGCCTGGTCGTGGGTTGGTGCAATAGAACGGGTCAGTTGTGCTAGTAGGGATAACTTAGTCCATGTCCGCACGTATTTGGCTAGTGGGATGGCACGAGGCCTAAGGATCTCCATGGGTGTTTAGCTCCGGCCGTTATGGCCACTATGTATTCCCAAATAGAAGGATAAATGAGAAACAAAAAGTTGTGCGATTGTATGCAGCACAAAAAAATAATCCTGTGTGCTTTCGTCCCCAAACCCAAAACCTCTCTTCCTTTGTCCCGGTGACCGTCGGAGGCCTGCTGATATTTTGTATCAGAGCCTCGTTGCTTGTGGTTCTGTGAAGATGACTGGAGGTCCGAGCAGTCCAAGGTCGAAGCCCAATGCCCCTCATGCTAAGATCACCGACGGGAAAGACAATGGCAGTGGCACGCTCGTGGTGCAGCGCATCTTGTGTGATTCAGGCGGATTGACCACATAGTCGATGGGTTTCAAACATTGTGAGATAGTTCGGTACCTATCTACCGTTGGTGTTAAAGGGAGAACAACGAGGAGCCAACTCTACGTTGCCTGGACGTGGCACGCCCGTTTCAGCCATTTGAACTTGCGCAGGCTTGCGAGGCAAGACACGGTGTGAGCAAGCAGATCAGATCTGCGATGCTTGCTTGGCCGGAAAACAGAGGCGTGTGCCCTCCACGCAGCACGCCAAGTTCCACGTTGAGAACTGCCTTGAGGTGGTCCATGGCGACCTTTGCAGGCTGATCTCACCGGCGACACCAAGTGGGAAGAAATACTTCCTCCTGCTTGTCGACGCCACGTGGTACATATGTTTAGCGGTTCTTGCCTCTATGGACGAGGCCCAATGGCAATCCAGTGCATCCAGGCTGAAGCAGTCCGATTCTGGCAGCAAGCTATGCGTTTTACGGACGGGTCAAGGTGGTGATGACCCACAAGTATAGGGGATCTATCGTAGTCCTTTCGATAAGTAAGAGTGTTGAACCCAACGAGGAGCAGAAGGAAATGATAAGCGGTTTTCAGCAAGGTATTCTCTGCAAGTACTGAAATAAGTGATAACAGATAGTTTTGTGATAAGATAATTTGTAACGAGCAACAAGTAACAAAAGTAAATAAAGTGCAGCAAGGTGGCCCAATCCTTTTTGTAGCAAAGGACAAGCCTGGACAAACTCTTATATAAGGAAAAGCGCTTCCGAGGACACATGGGAATATCGTCAAGCTAGTTTTCATCACGTTCATATGATTCGCGTTCGGTACTTTGATAATTTGACATCTGGGTGGACCGGTGCTTGGGTGCTGTTCTTACTTGAACAAGCATCCCACTTATGATTAACCTCTATTGCAAGCATCCGCAACTACAACAAAAGTATTAAGGTAAACCTAACCATAGCATGAAACATATGGATCCAAATCAGCCCCTTACGAAGCAACGCATAAACTAGGGTTTAAGCTTCTGTCACCCTAGCAACCCATCATCTACTTATTACTTCCCAATGCCTTCCTCTAGGCCCAAATAATGGTGAAGTGTTATGTAGTCGACGTTTACATAACAACACTAGAGGCTAGACAACATACATCTCATCAAAATATCGAACGAATACCAAATTCACATGACTACTAATAGCAAGACTTCTCCCTTGTCCTCAGGAACAAACGTAACTACTTACAAAGCATATTCATGTTCATAATCAGAGGGATAATAATATGCATAAAGGATCTGAACATATGATCTTCCACCAATTAAACCAACTAGCATCAACTACAAGGAGTAATTAACACTACTAGCAACCTACGCTCCAATCCCGGACTTGGAGACAAGAATTGGATACAAGAGATGAACTAGGGTTTTGAGATGAGATGGTGCTGATGAAGATGTTGATGGAGATTACCCTCTCCCGATGAGAGGAGCGTTGGTGATGACGATGGCGACGATTCCCCCCTCCGAGAGGGAAGTTTCCCCGGCAGAACAGCTCTGCCGGAGCTCTAGATTGGATCCGCCAAGGTTCCGCCTCGTGGCGGCGGAGTTTCGTCCCGAAAGGTTGCTTCTTCTTTTTTTCTCGACGAAGGACTTCATATAGGAGAAGATGGTCATCGGAGAGCCACCAGGGGGCCCACGAGGTAGGGGGCGCGCCCTAGGGTTGGGGAGGGGCGCCCCCCACCCTCGTGGAAAGGGTGTGGGCCCCCTGCTCTTCATCTTTGGCGAGGATTTTTCATTATTTATTATAAGGTATTTCGTGGAGTTTCAGGACTTTTGGAGTTGTGCAGAATAGGTCTCTAATATTTGCTCCTTTTCCAGCCCAGAATTCCAACTGCCGGCATTCTCCCTCCTTATGTAAACCTTGTAAAATAAGAGAGAATAGTCATAGGTATTGTGACATAATGTGAAATAGCAGCCCATAATGCAATAAATATCGATATAAAAGCATGATGCAAAATGGACGTATCAGGTGGTGAGTTCACATCCGACTCCTTCACCGCGTATTGCGCCGATCTCGGAGTTTAGCGTCAACTCACTGCGCCCTACCCACCGCATCTAAACGGCGTTGTCGGACATTGCAATCAGATGGTGGTGAGCATGGCCTGCTGTCTTCTCGAGGCCAAGTGTGTTGCCGGTGAGTTCTAGGGCGAAGCGGTCATGACAACGGTGTTCATCTTGAACCGTTAAACATGTCGACAATGAAGAGCCTAGATGGCAAGACACTGTTTGAGGCATGGACACGACTCTTCGTCAGCATCTAAGTGGAGCATCTAAGTGGGCGATCTGGTGATCACCATGTCCAAAGCTGGCGAGATGCAGAACTTGTTTAGAATGTCTTACCTCAATCTGCTGAGTTTTTACCTTGGGATGGAGGTGCGGCAGGGCACGGTCAGGATCACCATCTCTCTTTCTGCCTATGCCCATAACCTTCTCGAGAAGAGTGGCATGGTGGGGTCCAATCCCTTTCAAGTGCCCATGGAGCCGTGCTTCAAGCTTTCCATTTGGCATGTCGCTTATTCAATTTCGTTTGACCTTTAAGGTATTTAAGCGTCTCATGATCCGTATGGATGACAAATTCACGAGGGCGAAGATAATGCTCCGACACATGCAAGACTCTCACTAAAGCATATAACTCTGTCATAAATGGGGTAGTTAAGTTGCGCTCCGAAAAGTTTCTCGCTAAAGTATGCGATTGGGCGCTTCTCTTGCATCAACACACCTCCTATGCCATTACCACTAGCGTTGCAATGCACTTCGAAAGTTTTATCAAAATTGGGCAATCCAAGCAATGGAGCATGTGTAAGCAAATTCTTAAGCCCATGAAATGCAGTATCTTGGGATGGTCCCCAAACAAAGGATGCATTCTTCTTATTCAATGGGTGCAATGGTGCTAAAATCCTTCACAAGGTGACGATAAAATCCGGCTAAGCCAAGGAAGCTACACACTTGTTGCAAGTTGGTTGGTTGTGGCCAAGTTTTAATAGCATCAATTTTAGCTTCGTCTACATGAACACCCTTAGAAGACGGAACAAAACCCAAGAAAACAAGCTTGGCAACACCAAATGTGCATTTCTCCATATTAGCATAAAGGCGCTCGTTTCTAAGAGTTTGCAAAACAGCTCTAAGATGGGTGACATGATTTTCTAAAGATTCGCTAAACACAAGTATATCATCAAAGTAGACCGCAACAAATATGCCAATATATTCGCGAAGAATGTAATGCATCACATGCATGAAAGTGTCGGGTGCTTCGGATAAGCCCATAGGCATAACTAACCACTCATACAAGCCAAATTTGGTTTTGAAAGCGGTTTTCCATTCATCATCCTCTTGAATGCGAATTTGGTAATAGCCACTTTTAAGATCAATTTTAGAGAAAACTGTGGCTCCGCTAAGCTCATCTAGCATATCGTCAAGGCGTGGAATGAGATGCCTATAGCGAACGGTGATAGCATTTATGGGTCGGCAATCGGAACACATGCGAAAACTTCCATCTTTCTTGGGCACAAGAATAACCGGAATGGCACAAGGACTTAAGCTTTCACGTACATGCCCATTGTCAATGAGGTGTTGTACTTGCCGTTGTATTTCCTTGGTTTCTTTGGGGTTGACGCGGTACGGTGCCTTGTTCGGTAAGGTGCGCCGGGAATGAGGAAGATGCGGTGTTCGATGCCTCGTAGTGGAGGTAGACCCAGAGGTAGCTCATCGGGGAATACGTCCTTGAATTCCAGCAATAAATTAGACAACACTAAAGGTAGGGTAAGAGGTGTTAGTCCGTGCCGCTTCATCCTTGCATACTAGGACATAGTGTATGACACTAGATGGGTTCTCACACACTTCTCTCATGTCTCTTTCGATAGCTAAGAGCACTAAGTTTTTCTTGTCGCTCATCGTGGAGGCACTCATTTTTGGCTTATGACGCTCACTCTTCTCTTGCTGGCTCACTCTCTCACTATTCTCTCCAGTCTCCGCGATGGGTGGATGCTTGCTCGTCGACGATCACTTGGCTTGGTGACATGGGTCATAGCATGTACTCCTTTCCCTTCATCTTGAAAACTATAGTGATTGGTTCGCCCATTGTGGATAACGCCACGGTCGAGTTGCCAAGATCGTCCAAGTAGGAGGTGGCAAATGGACATGGGAACCACATCACACTCCAATATGTCTTCGTATGCTCTAATCTTGAAGGAGACTTGAACGGTGTGCTCCACTTGAATGGTGCCGGAGTCGCTAAGCCATTGGACCTTCTAGGGGTGAGGATGCTT